CTGAACCACCACCAAGTTCTTTCATTTTGGGGGCGCATACACATGTGCCTGGCATGTTTCTCAAGCCACCAGGTCTGGACTTTCTCTCTCTCTTTTTTTTTTTAAGAGAGGTTTTCGCTATAGGGTATGTACACCACCAGAAAGAGGGAGAGAGAGAGAGACAGAAAGCGAGAAATCACCCACCGGGGCGATGGCCACACCACAATCCGTTCTCCTCTATTCTTTTCTTGGGATCTTAGGCACTCACACACATGCACCCAGCCTGAGTTTAAGCCACTGGTCTGAGACTCAAACTGTGGTTAACTACGTGAGAGTTCAGTGACATAACTAAGACGCCATCTGCTGGTCCCAGTAGACTATTTTTACAGTGGGTTTAGGTTCACAGTAAAACCAAGCAGAAAGTAGAACTGCCATTAATATATATTCCCCTTGTCTTACACATGCAACAGCCTCCCACACTAAGATCATCCCCCACAAGAGTGGTACGTTTGTTCAACTGATGAACCTACATGGACACATCATCTCCACGAGTGCATAGCTTACTTGAGGGTTCATTCTTGGTGGTGCGTGTTCTATGGCTCCGACTAATAAGTAGTGATATGTGTCCACCACTGTAGCATCATACTGAGTAGTTCCACTGTTCTAAAAATCTTGTCATGAAATGTTCTAAAACTAGTTGTGACAACAGTTGCACATATTTGTGAATAAAAACTACTGAATCTTACAATCTGAATGGGTAAATTGTGTAGAATGCAAATTATCTTTAAAAAAAAAAAGAAACACAACTTACAGTCTTCATGGAGAAGTTAACAACAAACTTGAAACAGGTCATTGCTAGTAGAATGTGATTAAAGTCAAAGAGTTCATAGTGAAAAACTGAATAGTCCTTTTGATGTTAGGCGAATTTTTCCATCCCCTCTGGGGGGTGATTTCTCGCTTTCTATCTCTCTGTCTCTGTGTTTCTGGCTAGCACATACGCCCTATAGCAAAAATCTCTCAGAAAAATAAAAAAAGAAATGCAAATTTGGGGGCCTCATTCAAGACCCAGTAAACAAGAAACCCTTGGCAGGTTTTTTTTTTTTTTAGGGAGAGATTTCTACTGTAGGGTGTGTGTGCTTGCCAGAAAGACAGAGAGAGAGAAAGAGAGTGAGAAATCATCCCCCAGGGGGATGGTCACGTAGCAATCCCTTCTCCTCCATTCTCCTCTTGGAATTTTGAGTACGCACGCACGCACACTCGCCCAGCATGAGTTTCAAGATGCCGGGTCTGGGACTAGAATCACGGTTGACTACATGGGAGTCCAGTAATGTAACCATTACGCCACCTGCTGGTCCCAGTAGTTTATGTTTTAATAAGACCTGATAATTCTGATCCCTGTTAAAGTTTGAGAATCACTACTACCGATGTGGTGCTTCTTAAGATTCAATGTGCATGCAAATCACTTATGATCATATTAGAACACAGATTTTGGGGACGGTAGGTAGCGTGGTGGTTAAGGGTGCTGGATTCCCACATGGCTGACCACAGTTCCCGGATCTGGTGGCTTGCTTCCTTGCTTTCTCTCTCTTTCTTTGTCTCTTCCCCTCTCTGGTCAAATTAAAATAATAAACAAACAAAAAAATGTAAATAAAAATAATTATTAAAAAACACATAGATTTTGGGACCAGCAGTTAGCGTAATGGCTATGTCGCTGGACTCCCACATAGTTGACCGCGGTTTGAGTCCTGGACCCGGTGGCTTAAAACTCACGACGGGCACGTATGTGTGCATGCCCAAGATCCCGAGAGGAGAATGGAGGAGAAGGGATTGCGGCGTGGCCATCCCCTCCCGGGGGGGTGATTTCTCGCTTTCTATCTCTCTGTCTCTCTCTGTCTGTCCGGTGAGCGCACGCGCCCTATAGCAAAAACCTCTCCAAAAAATAAATAAATAAATAAAAACACATAGATTTTGGTGAATCTCAATGGAGTGTGAGATTTTGCATTTCTAACGAGCTCCCAGGTGAGGCTGATGCTATTGGTCTATGGGCCATATCTTGAGTAACAAGGGCATAAGACAATGTATTGGAAACCACATTGCTGTGTCAATTAGGTGGGAAAGCAGATAGTAAACGGGCTTGCAACTCGGTGCCATTCAAACACTATAAATGCCAAACTAGAAACTCAGTGGTCCATCCATGCTTAGATTAGGTTATTTGACAAAGACCCTATGTCTCTGTCAGAAAGGGCAGGATATCTACCTTCACATCTTCTAAATTAGAGACAAGCTATAAAACATTTCAATTTTCCTTTGTAATCAAGTGTAGACAGGCCGTCTGTGACTTTACTCATGCCTTAAAGAAATGTACTTTATGTC